AGATAGATAGATAGATAGATAGATAGATAGATAAAATCCTGACTCATAATTTGATTTACTTTCATTTCACGCTGATAAAGAACCTGAGACGACAAAAAAAAGCCATTTTAACATGTTTATATTCACCCAGTTCAGCCGAAAACGGCTAAAAACACGAAAACGGATGGAAAATCTGTCCTGAACATCCTTTGTTTTCAGCCTTTGGTGCTTTTCAACAGGTAGACCAAAGCCCATAATTCCCTCCAGAAGACCCCGAAAGGATGAGAAGACTCGAAATCCACAAAGGAAAGACAGAAAAAAGACAGAAAACAGGAATTATCTCAGGACGAAAAGCATCCCAGCTTCAAATCCCGCTTTATTTCTCACAGAAACAGAAACCAGCGCCGGCCTTTCGTGAGTTCTGTGCCCCGTTTTTGGGTCAATTTATAAACAATAAAGAGAAATAAGAAGAGGAGCCTGTTCCGGATCAGCGGAACAAACAAACCCAGCAGAAATCTAACTTGTTTTGACAGTAAAAACTAAAGTCAGAGCCGCGTTTAATCAGAGCTGGCTGCGTGTTTTCGGATCTCTGGACCAGGCTTTCGGCCCCCAGCCTCGATAAGATCTGGACCCTCATCAGCAACAGATGCTGCTCCCCTTTATCTCCTTCAGCTTTCTGAGGTTTTCCCACAGATATTTGGAGCAGAACAAGGGCCGATTGTCCCCCCAAGAGCCTGTAATTACGGGTCCAGCCCCCATCCCTCCACACGGCCACAAACCGGCTTTCATCTGCTCTGGACGGCTTCCAAAAGCCACAAAAAAGACGTTTAAAGAAGGAATTAGATTTGCCCTCAAAGACCTGAAGATGATACCAGGCTGTGGTTATTTTTATTAACAGAAACAGAGTCTAAAGTGTTTGCAAACATGAGAAAATACCGACTTTTTTCAGCATTTTTCTGTCTCAAAATGTCAAAAATATCCTTTTTTGGTCCAGATTTTTCCAGATTAAATCTTATTTAAGACTATTTTTTCACCATTTCGTTCTAAAAATTACCCCCAAAACTTTTTGGGGTCCAGATTTTTCTGGATTAATTCTAATTTGAGACTATTTTTTCATAATTTCTTTCTAAAAATTACCCCCAAAATTTTTGGGCCATATTTTTCAGGATTAAACCATTTTTTAAATGATCCTGATCAATAGTTCTTCAGGTTTGTTGTTTTTGTTTTCAGAGGAAAGTGTTTTTTCTTTTTTATCTCCTCAACTTCAACAACAAATTCGGGGTTTCTCGGCCAGAATCTGGAGCTCTGTTCTGAGTTTGAAAGATTTGGATCCCTTTGTTACTCGGTGTCTTAGCTAGCTTTGGTTTTAATCTTCCTATTTGTTCATTTTTGTGGTACAA